GATAGCGATAGGTCTTGATGGTCACTGATATTCCCTTTCCAGTAAAATTTAGGAGGCTTCCAAGGGTGTATAAATTTATCGAAATCCTCACGCATAAATGTTGCACGTAGTCATTATCTTTAGAGGTATTTAGAGATTATGAACGTTATTCAACTACGAAGTTCCATGATTGAGCTTCGTTTCCACCATCCCGTTTGCATTCATCACTGTCTTTATCTTTAAGGCTTCAGTTGGAGGTCTGTTTTTGCCGTAGTTCGTCATCTTACTTAGGGAGCGAACGCCTTCGTCAATGTCGCTTAAACAGGCAATGTCTTCAGCATAGTCCAAAAAGAGTGAAGTAATCATGATCAAAAACGAAACCTTGAAAAAAGGACAATGGCAGACAATCAAAGCATGGTACTTTCCAAAATCCATACATGTTAGTTCCATTAAATAAACGTAGTCTTAGGAAGTCAAACTCTGGCTCATTTCCTAAATATAAAGCGAAGACCTACATAAGGATCGCACAACAGAAAAATACGCAATAGACTGCACTGCCTTTATGGTAGAATTAGAAAATACCCTGACTGCAAACTCAGAATCTATAGAGTACAGGAATAAGACGACACCGTTTACCATTTAAAAGGTCGATGACTCAATGAATCGCAATGCAATCAACACAAAAATAATAATGAATAAAAAGTTCCAGGATGATACGTGAGAAGACTGAAAGTTGTAAAACTACCATATAATTGGCCTGTAATGTAAAATGGCTGAATATTCAGAGATGAACAAACAAAAAATAAAATGAATAAAAACAATACTAATTATCTATCTGTTCACCTTTACAGCGACTTAAATATTCCGATATTATGACTTCAGACAGAGAAACCGTTATTAAGCGTGACCATAAGCAACGAAAAGTGCTAAAGTTCCATTTACCTAACTCATGAGGAAATTCTTCACAAATCACGGCAATAGCAACACTAATGCCAGACATGATGTTGTTCGTGAAAGCAGCGCCTATTGATACGCCATCGATTAAGTTATGGAAACCGTCACCGAATATGATCATCCAAGCAACACTGGCTATCGTACCGTCAAACTTGAATAGTTTCTTTTCTGAAGAAAACATGGAAGTCTAAAGATAACAAAATGTATAAAGATAGTAACACGGAATTGGAAAGGAAGAATAAACATACAAAAATACAGAGAAAGAAGATGAACACCAAATTATAACAAACTAAAGTACAGATGGAAGTCATAGAGTCGTGTGGGCTCTATGCATTTCCTAAAGTCGATGAACGTAACGAGATATAAGAAATCATACTAAAACGAATAAAACAGTAAGGGCGCACAGAAAATACCTTTCGACCAAATTCGTCAAGCTTATCTGAAGTCACATTCTGTGGCTTTGGTTCATCTGCGACGGCAAAAGCAGCATCAGATTCATTCATTACAGCTTCGCCCACTGGAGTTACATGAGTGTCGTGATTCGCCACGAGTCCCTTAGGCTGAAAGGAAGCCGGGAGGTCAGTCACACATGAAACGTAACCCTTGAACTCAGGTACGTTTTGGTCGCGTTTCGACCGCTGAAAAAGAATCTACTTAAATTTGCAGCCTCCGTCAATCAAATCAAAAGCGCGCGAGATTAGGATTACGGCTGCCTAACGAATCATTTTGTCCAATGATGACATCTGAATTGTTCGAAACTTTGTAGGCCTGCTCCAGTACACTGTGTTGCCCATGAGTCCTGTGATCTGCATCACAGTCGCCATCAAGAATATGACCAAGAAACTCTGCTGTGACTGTTTTCAGCTGTCTGAGGACTATGCAAACAGAAAGAACAGAAGCTTTGGCTGTTGTCTTTCTCACATGGCCTGTTCAGAGCAATTCTGAGCCGAATGATGAGGAAAGTCCAGGAAAACCTTCCGACAATGGCGTTGCAAAAAAATTTTATCTTATCTTGCAAAGGCACCGCTTCTGACCCTGTGAAACATTATAGCAATGAAATGAACGTTTGATATTAATATATATTAACGATAAATATGCTAACGCATATCAGACAGCTCAGTTAGAAGAGTGCTGGACTAATGGTCGAAAGTTCGTGAGCCTCAATCTTGGCATATCACTGACCTTTTATAGCTTCCATATATACAAACTGTGGTATACTGCCGGGCAAATGGAATCATAAAGAAGATCAATGTGTACCGTATACTATATGAAAGACAAACTGGCAGATAACGACATTCCTCATAGGCATGCAAATGAGAAAGACATTTCAACGAGTGCAGACTTTTGTTCCTTCCTTCCTCAGATCAATTTTATTCAGGACTTTCCATTTCGACATTTTCACAACTCACTATGAGTTTCGGGAGACGGACACAGCAGCTGTTAGATGCATGCTTTTCCAGCGGCCCCAATTTTATGCACGGGCAAGTGAAGACTACTGACACTCCAAAGTGCGTGTTCGAGGAACTTCTTCAATACTGCAAAATATTTCGGAATGATAGGTGCAACATGGAATTTGTTAAGAAATAGAAGAATAACGTGCAGCATCGACATAAAACAAGGACAGAACTGAAAAAGCGCGATTTTGGTTATTAAACAGATATGCCATTGCGCAACTAACAGAAATACTGCATCCTCAACAGGTCTTTTGTTAGCATCCTAGGATAAGCTTCATGCTTCTGCCGTCAATGACAGATAAATGTAATACATGGTGTAGAGAAGGTTCAAGAATTTTTGGGAGCATACAGGCACGCTCCTGCACTTGAACGATCATTAGCAAATGCCTGGTACGTGGTGAATGGCGATCATACTACAGTTCGGTGGTGGAGCGATTTCATAGTCGGCTTCATAAAGTTGTGGAATAAAATCGTCTGCTAATTACAGTTAAACCAAAGCAAAATTTGAGCTCCATGCAAATTAATTTATTCACGCGCATACCTGTTTTTGTTCATATGCAGTCTATCGTAGGTGCCGTGAAGAAAATCGGTCGCAGAATGATTCAACGGAATAATCCACGCGGAGAACAACCTTCTCTATGATAGTCTGAAGCGAAAGCTAATAACTGCTGGGATATGGGCCAAGTTTAAAATTCTACAGTAAATGCTATTTCGACGCCATCATGGAGGAATCAACTTATGTTGAAAACTACATGCATAGTCCACGGCAGCTAAGGATAATGGTTTACCATCTGATACTGATTTATCATCTACTTCAAAAAGATGAAAGGCGACCGAATCGGCCAAAATTGCAATCCACAATTTTTCGACTGCGAGAACTAAGTTGTCCTGAAGAAAGCTAATAAATGTAGTAAAAGCTTGCCATAAACCAAAAACAGTACGCTAAAAAAACCCTAGCGAACACACGAAAGAAGTAGCATCGTGATAGTTCCACGTCTGTTCTACCTTGAACTCTAATGGCAATATATGCACAGACCTATAGTAAAGGTCATAATATTGGGGAATACACAGAAACCTCTAATGCTACAATGAAAGGGCGACCAGTAAGGCAGCGATATGAAGGTATGGGTAGCTAGAATCGGACGGTGGATGACAGAAAGTCTGTTAAAAAACAACAGAGATTGTTGTTATTTGTGATCCTTTTCAGGGTCAAGAACCGAGTACCAACCAGTTGAGAAAGGAGGAGGGTTGAAGACCGTAGCAAAGTCTCCGTAAAATTTAGCCACCTACCACTCATGGTATTGACGACATCGAAATTTATACCGGCTCGGTCGTCGCCCGGGTTACCAAGGGCCGCGCAGGCTATATTATATCAGAACCTGCTCATCGTTCTCTGCCATCCGAGGGCTTAGCAGCACAACAACGGCTGACGAAGACCGACGGAACGACGACGAAGATACCAGTCAGCAACAGAGTCGCTACCTGTTCTGAACGGAGGAGGCAGACAGCGCGATGTTATTACAGTACGCGAATAAAATCTCAACGAGAACACACGTCAGTGGGAAATGAAGGATGGGGTACATAGATCAATGATGTCTAATGTTTTTAGCTTCTAAGAATGATTTAGGCGATGTTTGCTGCGGAAAAGATCATATTCCTTGTCACAAGTAAGTACGCCGCCAGCACCTGTTTTAAAGTACGACTTGTGGCTATTCTTTGCTTCCCACAGGAGAATGGCTTTGAATAGATCTCCGTTTTCTCTCTGGATGGTTCTATCAAACCATGAAAGATGCCAGTTGCCGATTTCTTCAGAAAACATTCTTAAGGAAATCAGCGCCAAGATTTTTTCATTCTTTATTCAATGTTACCATCGTATTTTATAGAGAAGTGCAAGAGGACCAACTTCATTCTCCCATTTTATATTAAGAACTTGAAAGTGAATGTACTCAAAAAGTCACATAATGATGCTCATCAGTTAATTAGCACGGTACAGCTGAAGATTTAGATCTCATAATTCATGTGCAGAAATCAAAGATAAAACAGGAATCAAGCAAGTCACAAGCAGTATATTGAAAGGTCAAAAACACAATGACTTTTGCCTCAAAATTTAGCTGACTTGTTCATCAAGGGCAAATTAAAATTTTATAAATAAAGTATCGTACCTTCTTCATCTCGCACACAATTTTGATGATGCTGTCGATTATAAAAAATCCGTATATGCCGCATATCGCTGTCCAACATCGGGACAGATGCATATTGCCTTCGATACCTAAGGCCTAAATATTATTGATTCAAGATATTAAAATCGAAAAATGACTGAACTAAAATTTGAACATCACAGAAAAAGCAAAAGTATATAGCTCTAAAAGCCACAGTGACATTACAACAGTTACAGGACGTGTTTTCAATAAACGAAACCTATGAACGCCTATTGAAAAAATTAATTAGTTGATCAGTTGTTGGTGTGCCTACTGTCTAACTGCGGAAACAAAGGAACAAACAAACATTTTCGTTAAGAAGACAAACATGAGCATGCTGCAATGTCCGTCGCCGCTCAAGATATATTGGTCACGGTTTGTAGGCTCTAGGCTCAAAACGGATCAGCTGCTGCATACGACCACAGCAGGGGCCTAAAACCACCGCCAATTTTACCCTGAAGTAGGCCGGTGAAACAGCAGAACCACCGGTAACGGTCTGTCATTCAGCATCGTATTTATGTTGTAATTCGCTGTTGTTTGTTTATCGTTGAAACCAAAAAAGCAACGGTGTCTAATGTCTAAACGATCTAGCTTAAACACATCGGTCAGCTGAAACGTGGAATGGGTAACGAGTCATACTCGTTAGAGAAAGCGACCTTTTGGATTTTGTAACTTTATTCTTTACCCACGTGAATGAGATCAAACACAAAATTGAAGAAAATCCGCCAAATCACGAGGCACCGCAGTCATTTTGAATCCGTCGTATGATCCTCGGTTTCATAATCAATGGCACGACAATATTGTGGCATAAAAATAGCTAAAATATCGCCAGATGATTGAAATACCAAACATATCTCAGCTAGGGAACCGAAGAAGAGAAGAAGAAGTTTCTCTGCTAGATGGAAATGAGAATATAAGAGGTTATATATACTGGAACGGGAGCCAGAGAACCCCGTCTTTCATGAAGTGTATGACGTAGTCCTGAAGACTGCTCTGGTACCATCAACCGAGGCGCCGTATTCTTCAGAATAACGTATACACAACGGCCACTAAGATGTTCAGAGATGAAAGTATCCTTCCCATAAAGTGATACTGGTTTACGTACCAACGATGAAACTTACGGCATGACTAATATGGAATCGCTTTTCACCATCATAGTGACTTAAACTAAAAGAAAAACAAACAATCTGATTACTACTGTCCAAGGTTCACCCGATGGAGAAAATAAAACACTCAATCAACTGAATGTTTGAAACCTGCCCTCTCCCTCGAGAACTACAATCGATAAGAAAAATTGTATCTATTCGAGCATAATCAACAGAAGTTCGAAACACCTCCTCCTGAAGTCAGGTAATTATTAATGTAGAGTAGACAAATCCTAACTACTTTCAGCGGTTAAGCGAAAAACGAACGCAAATCATAGAAACAAGCAGCAGCTATAACTTCATTCGTTAATATAATTCACTACAGTTCACATACGATATTTAATGGTGTTTTATTTTATCCACTTCTATCCCAACGTCATAATGTCTACAGAAGACAACAGATGATGAAAGCAACTTTACTCATTGAAAATTTTCATTCTTCAAATGTTCCATTAAATCAAATCTAAAATCCAAACAAAACCCCGTGTTGGCATTGACAACAGATTTACCTCTGGCAGAAGTTGAAATACGGCTGTCCCCGATAATGAACCGACTCCGAGTCCAATAAACCACGTGATAATCCTGCTGTAGTTCCTCTTTCCTATCACCGGAAGGAGGACAATGCCGACAGCTGCGCAGAAACAAACCAATGTAATGAACGCCAGGCCGATGCCCCAGACTTTGACCGGGGTCGGCCGCATGAACTCTGAGAGAATACGAGTTTCACCGGTGGAGTTCTTTCGGTCAAGCAAAAGCTGTTGACAAAGTTGGTAAAAAGTTTCATTGTTCATCAGCTGGTCATCCATGGTTGGTCAGAGAGTTTGTTGTTTTCTTCGATAAAGATACACACCGGATACAAATACCACAGGTGGAATAAACCCGTTTTCGTTCACCGGTTACCTTAAATAAAACATGCGTCATTGATTTATAAAATAAAGCTTTGATGAGGCACGAAAATGAATCAGTTTCTGAACACGGTGTCTTACCTCATTTGCACACTTTTTCTTCTGCTTCTTCTTCAATATATATGTATCACTGATTCGATGGTTACAGAAACTGTAATACAAGATCTATGTGAAACTACTTTTACCGTTCATGTGCCAGCAAACAGCAGTGCCATCAATCTACCTAGAAATGAAAACGCACCAAAGCGTAGGCAAAATCGTTATTTAAGTTAAAAGAGCTTTCCGAATCTGGAGCAGTGCTACCTTTTTCAACGAACAGACTGAATTACAAAGGAAAACCCCCTCGGATTCTGAAAATTCCATATTTTTCAGTAAATATTTTGCCACTGATTAAGAACAGCACAGTGTTTACGGAACATCGATGACGGTTGCAAGTTCACACATACAGCTTTTCTAGAACACAGTTTAACTTTCAACAAGATCCCTCACTAAGTTTAATAAATGATCTGGCAACAAAAAGTGCTAATCCTAGCGTTAATCACCTCCTTGTGACATACAACAAATGTCCCAATGAGTATGTGACCAGCAGTAGTCGCCATCAATACCAGCGGATGATCAGTTGGAACAAGTGCCGCATGCAGGAGACGCTGTCATTCTTTCTGCTACACGTGAATCTGTAAATAAGTGCCTGCTTTTCGCGCAAGTTCAGGATGCAATCTACTGGTTTACCAACTCTGAACGTTTCTTCTGACCAACCCACGGACTGTCAGCCTCTTAAGAGGGTGAGCAGTGTGATGATAGGATATAAAAGAAGTTCGAACAATAGTAGTAGGCCGAAGAAAATGGAGACTTAGCTGACGAACGGTTTCGAAAAAAAAGATATCGCGTATTACGTAGTTGCTCAATACATCGGCTACTCAACAGTTTTTTGACTTTCTTTGTGCTTATACTTATGATGCAGAAGAAACCCTCACAGCAAGCCTTCAGAATTAAGAAGGACGACGCTATTTCACCTTAGGATGATCTTCGCGTTGCCCACTCCGTAGTTAAATTAATGGAGAACACATGACTACGCCATGAGTGATTTAGTAATGCATTCAACCCCCTCCCAAATTATCATTTAACCTTAAGGACTTCAAATAATTACCTAAAATACATCCTTAAAGGCAGGGTCAAAACCTTTGCTGCAAAACATTGTAGTTCATGAGAGTCGTCTGTTCCTTAGATTCCACACTCATCACCATAGACACGGCTCGCTTGCATTCATTCAATTTTACGACGCAGTGCTTCGGGACTTCTTACTCGTGTGACTGCGACATCACCCTGCTTTTTGTTTACATTAGCTGTCACCTGCTCGTTCTGATTTTCTGACGTAAGAGTGCTGGAGCGACTGAATGAAAATTCACAATCTGTTCTGCCACTTCGTTCTATCTGACAAATAAATCAATCAGAGCAAACTTTAATCACATAGGTATTGCTTTCACTGCTTTGTTTTACTTGGGTTTCATCTCTATGACTTGACTCAAGATCAGTAGCACCATATTTCAGTCTACTACCAGAAAATTCCATTACAACATGGAATGTAGAAACTTAGCGATTTCATATCGTCGCCGGATTTGCAGTCAGCCT